TGTGAACGTTAATCTCTTGAGCTGCATATCTGAGCTTCAATTTTGTTGTTGTTGTTGTTGTTATGTGCCGTTGAGTCGTTTGTGACTCATAGCGACCCTATGCTTCAATTTTACAACATTTAAAAAGAAGTCACCACTTCAGAAAACCAGGAGTAGAGAATTAACAGGAAGTTCTCAAAATTTTCCAAAAATTTTCCCCTGTGATTGTTTCCAAGAAAATGTTATATTTTTAATGTATTTTAGAATAAAAATTCTAAATGAAAAACCCATCTGTATTCCTCTTTGTTTCTCCCTAAGACTTGATGCAGATAAAACCCTTGGTGTAGTGAGTGAATGAATGTCTTGATTTCTCTGTGTATGGAATTTTAGTAGAATGGCTGCCCATGGGTTGAGTCTGGACTGTGCTTTATTCTGCATGAACACTGTCTTAAAAATATTTCACTTGCCAATATTTAAAAATCAAGACATTTTACATAAAAAAAAACATGGTAGATCTGCCACATTCTACTTGGCAGCCGTTTGCTGGAGCTGAGTACTTTGGGAACATGAGCACTCCAGTGTACCAGTCTCACCTGTCCCAGGTATTTAACAGCTACACTTTAAAGTATAGATCAGAGAGCGCTAGAAATTCCTTCCCCTTTAAACTGACACCAGCTTCCCTGGTGGGAGATGATAAGGTCACCAGGTAATCAGCCCTGCCCTCCTCATACCAGTAAATTTCCAATTGTAAGGGCGTGAGGGTTTGCTGTGGAACCTGTGTAACAAAACCCTTTCTGAGGGCAACTCTATTCCATGAACAGGTGGCTTTGAGATAAAGGTGGTGGTGGTTGTCAGATCCTGTCCAGTCGATTATGACTCACTGTCTTTCCCCTCGGATTCTCCAGCCTTAGACAAGCATTAATTTACTTTCTGTCTCTATGGATTTGCAAAACTAGATATTTCCTGTAAACAGAACGATGTGATATATGGTCAGTGACTAGATTTTTCACTTACCAGGTTTTCAAGGCTCATCCAGGTTGTACTGTGTAGCAGTGCTCATTCTTAAACTGATATGTTCCCTTGCATGAATAGATAGCACATGTTATTTAACTATTCGTCAGTCAGTGGATGTTTGGGTTGTTACCATTTTTCAGCTGTTATGAATAACACTGCTGTGAACATTCAAGTAGAAGGTTTTTTTGTGGCTCGTTTCCCTTTGGGGTAGATAGTGAAGCATGAATTGTTGCATCATTTGCTAACTCTAGTCAGACTCTTTTCTACTCTGGCTGCATCATTTCACATTTCCACCAGCAACCTCCGAGGGTTCCAATTTCTTCACATTCTCACCGCCCTTTCTTATCTGGTTTGACGGTAGCCATTCTCTTGAGGGTGTATTGCTATCTCAGTGTGGTTTTGAATTACATCTCCCTAATGATGAATGAAGGGCCCTCTCATGGCTTCGTAGTAAGGAGTTGCACTGCCAACCCAAAGACATGAGGTTCAAATCCACCAGCTGCTCTGTGGGAGAAAGATGGGCAATCTCCTCCTGTGCACTTTGCAGCTTCTGAAAGCCCACTGAAGGGTCAGCTATAATTCAGTTCCAGCTTTCTGGAACATAACAATAACAACAATGGCTGATAATGAAGGAGCTCTGTTAGTGAGATGCATTTTGTGTTGTGCTGCTAACTGAAAGGTCCGCAGTTCAAGTCAACCATGGCGGGGAAAGGTGGGCAGTCTCCTCTTGTAAAAACTTACAGCCTTGAAAATCCTTTGCAGGATTGGCATGAGTCAGAAATTACTCAACCCAATAGTTGTAGGTTTGGGAGTGACTAATGATGAGGCCTGGTGGTTAAGTTGTTGGCTCTGAGAAAGAAACATCCGGCAGTCAGCTTCTGAAACGTTATAGCCTTGAAATCCTGTGGGCACATCCACTCCATCCTGCAGTACCACAGTGAGTGGAAATAGGCCACACTGAATATCTTGTCATGCATTTATCGGCCATTAATAGATTTTCTTAAGAAAAAAAATCTATTAAAATTATTTGCCTCTTTTAAAAAAATGGATTACTTTTTGACTGTTGAGCTGTAATAATGAGAAAAAAGAACCCCAGCACCTTCGAGTGCAGCCCATAAAGATGCTCCGTTGGGTTTTGAGACTGTGAGTACTTACAGGAAGTGACCGCCCCCCTTACCCCTGCAGAGCAGCCTGCAGGATATAAGGTGCTGACGTTTTGGTTAGTAGCCCCACCTGTTATTCACAAGAACATCAGAACTCCTCGAGTTGTAATGTTGTTGTTGTGTACTGTTGAGTTGGAACCAACCCATAGGTGACCCTCCAGTGGGTTTTCAGAGGCTGTAAACTCACAGGAGGAGAACGGCCATCTTTCTCCCACGGAGCAGCTGGTGGATTCAAACCATGTACTTTTGAGTTGGCAACACAATTCCTTGCTGCTAAGCCACCAGCTCACTTGAGTTGTGATAGCTCTCTATATATTCTGGAGCACAAGAAGCCAAAGGAAACAGAGATCAGTTGCACATCCTCAAAAGGAACAGATTTCACACTGCAAAGGGTGGTATCAAGAAAGTGAAAATACAACCCCCAAAATGGGAATTCTATTTCCTCTGATCCCCCTTTATCTTTTCTGTTAAAGGATGTGCATCTTGAATATATGGGGAACTATTACAACTCCCAAGGGCACACTGGTGACTTAGTGGTAAGGAATCACACTTTTAACCTAAAGGCACACGGTTCAAATCCACCAGCTACTCTGCAGAAAAAATATGGACTGTCTCCTGCCTTGCAATCAACTTCCTTTGAAAAACCTGCTGTAAGTTCAACTCTGAGTCAGTTGAGGCTTGTTGGTATATAATGACAACATCACAACTCATAAAGAGCCCCAGTGGCATGATGTATAAGGGGTTTGGGTTTCTAACCAGAAGGTTGCCAGTTTGAATCTCCTAGCTGCTCCTTGGGAGATAAATGGGCGGTCTCCTCCAGCAAAGATAAAAGCTTCGGAAACTTGATGGAGGGATGCTATGAGCTGGAACCAACTCAGCAGGTACTAGGTTTACTTTTGGTTTATTGCAACTCAAAGTCAAGGGTGCGCTGTTTGCAGTACCCAAGGATGCCTGTCGTCACATACCTGATTCTCATTTCCCTCAGAGGGGCTTTCAGGAAAGGATTTGGAGCGAGTGTGAATGAAGATATGCATTGGGGGATATAAAGTAATTCCTTCCAATTCAGGAAATTTGGATGTACAGTGAGAGGGTTGCGGGTTTTGCCCCCGTCTGCCCTCCAGGTATCCACAGGGTACAGAACCTCTCCAAAGGAACAGCAGTGGTTAGAAATAAGGATTAATCCCCAAGTCTGAATAAGGACCCCAATTGTCCTAGTCGCCAAACAAGGGCATGTTTGCTTCTAAAACTCCTTGAGCAAGTCTTTCCTTGGTCTAGACCTCAGTTTCTCCTTGAGATCAAGGAGGAATGTGCATGAAATTATTTCCAACGGCTGCTATGAATGCTTTTGAATCATTAAGATACTGGGGGTGAGTTAAATGAAGCCAGTGTAATTCAAACCTACCCTAATTAGGACTCTGCTTTAGTAGTAAGTCACATGAAAGCCTGCCCTTGTTTGAATAAGAGAATGCAGGTATTGGTTGATGTTATCTTTCTTCACAGACCCATCTCCGGGGTGATGGTCAAAATATTTAACAACCAGCACAGCTGAGCAGGGACTGATCAGAAGGGGTGGCAGCCAGGAGCAGGGCTCCCAGCCTAGAAACGTGCTTTTCCCACCCCACGGAGAGAGCTTGGGCTTTCTTCTGATGATGGTGGTGGTGAGAAAGATGATTGATGGCTCTGCTCCTTCCTGCCTGGGTCTACATCCAGGGCCCTGATTCAGAGTTTTTGGCTTCTTCTCCCTCTGACCACTTAACCCTTAATTGCTGTGAAAATCTTGCACCTAACACCAGTTTAAAAAATAAAACAAAAACCAAAAAAACAACTAAAGAGACGTTTAGTCACAGAATCAATTTTAGTATGGTTATCAAGAGGGGAAAGGAGGGAGTAGGAAATGAATTAATATATAATAAATACTTATTAATAGATAGGGATGAAGGGGAAGACACTTGGTAGGTGGATGATCAGATGCTGTGGGTATTTTAATGAACATCTTGGAGCAAAATATGCATGAATGAATGATTGAAAAAACAAAATGCTTTGTAAATCACAAATAACAAATCACAATAAAAGAATTTTCTGGGGAGAAGCCATCACTCTCAGGGTTCTTTGAGACCCCTCTGTGCTCAGCACCAAGTCAGCTGCCCGGTGTCCTCTTCCCTTTATTTTCAAAACAAAAGAGGTGGAGAGAAACAAGGGAAGATGAAGAGACCTAAGTTGTACCCTAGCTCTGCGCCGCATCTACTGTGTGATTTCGTAGTGCTCCTTTGCCAGAAATACCACAAGGGGGTTGCTTTAACAAACAGAAATTTATTTTCTCACAGTTAATAAAGCTAAATTTAGGCATCTCCATTCAGCATGCCACCTCTATGGGAAAGTGTCCTCTCTCTGTTGACTCGGGAGAAGGGTGTTTGTCTCCTTGAGCTTCTGCTCCTGTACAGTCTTCATGTGGCCTGGCATCTCTCGTCTCCCATCTGTACTTGCTAACCTGAATTAAATTTTGTATCTCAGAAGAGAGTAACTAAACAATACTCCTTCACTAATCCCCACCTCATTAACAAAGATAACCCTTTCCCAAATGGGATTAGAACCAAAGGCCTTAAGGTTAGATTTATAACACACATTTGGGGAAGCCATTATTTAACACATACAATGGCTTTGGGTAAGTCCCCACTTTGGCTCAGAGGCCTAGATGTAGGAAGTGGGGCTTGCACCGATGCCAGGAGATCTGAGGCCCCTGTTGTTTAGTGGTGAGTTTCTGTGGAAATACAAGTCTTCAGCAGCTGACTGCTCTCTCTCTTTCTCTCTCTCCCTCCCCACTCCATCCCACCACCTCCACTGTAGAATGCACTGCTGCCTGCAGGCCTGAGGCAGAAGGATCAGACCACCAAGGCGCCCACGGGCCCCTTTAAAAGAGAGGAACTCTTGGATCATTTGGAAAAGCAAGCAAAGGAGTTTAAGGACCGAGAAGATCTGGTCCCCTACACAGGAGAAAAACGAGGTATTGCACAGTGTCACCTTTGTTAATGTGTACTTCAAAGCCCAAACCTGTGTATGGTGGAAACCTGTCTGCAAAGGAAAACTCAGATCCTCTTCGCTAAAATGAATGACAGATGAGTGGTTTAGAAAACGTCCAAGACCTGGAAAAATAAGATAGTCCCATGACTTCTGACGCGCACAGGCTCCCTGTGTGTTAATCCTCATGTGTTCATTGACTGCCAACCATATGGCAGGCCCCAGGCTGGACCAGATGGGACTGGACCTCCTTGTCCTCACCCTGCCTGGCCAAAGTACAGCACACAAACACACCAGTAGGTGGTGTGGATTCAGTGGTTCCAGGGAGACAAAGGAGAGAGTATTAGCCTCTCTGACTAGCAATCTAAAATCTCAATCTCCTTTAACTGGAGTGCTCTTATATTTTGTGCCAATCTTGACACTATAGAGAGTGAAAATGCACAGGGGGAGTTAATGATGGTATCAGGACATTAGGTCTAAAACAAGGACTATCTCATGCCACATGGAAATAAGAAATACCCCCACTCCATCCTAACTAACTGCCCTTTCTCCAAAGTTCCTTTCTCTGCATCAACCCTTTCTTCTCTGTCCTCCAAGTCTCTCAGCACCTGCCCAAGGCAAGCCACCTAGAAGGCCTGGGGTCATAGAGGGGCTCTTTCTCTGTTTTCACCCACCTTTCCCCCAGAAAACAACCACAGCTGTCAACTGGATTCTGTCTCATGGGGACCCTCCATTGTGTTTCTGGGGTTGTAGATCTTTATGGGAGATTTCTGCTTAACTTTCTTTTGACGAGCAGATAGCAGATTTGAACCACTAACCTTTCAGGTAGTAAGCCAAAATATCACCCCCTACATCACTAGGATTCCTTCCCAGGACTTCCCACTCCTTCTGCACCGTTCTCACCCTTGCTTGCTGCACTGCTGCCCCACTGGCCTGCCTTCGGCTACCGAACACTTCACGCTCTTTCACACATGCTCCCTCCTCCTGGAATGATGGTCCCACTGTCTGACTTTATACGATCTCTGCGGTGATTGTAAGGAATTCTGAATGGTTAGGTGTTCAGCTGCTTATTGAAAGATTGGCAGTTAAAATCCACCATGACGTTATGAGGATTAAATGAGTATTGTTGTATGTGTCTTTTAGTTGGAACTGACTCATCACTGAACCTCTACTGATGCAAAGAGGTCAGTCTAGAGACCAAGGTGCGCCTGATCTAGGCCAGGGTGTTTGCAATTACTTGCTATGCATTAGAGAACTGGACAATGATTAAGGATACAGAAGAATTGATGCCTTTGCGTTGTGGTGTTGGAAAAGAGTATTGAACATACTGTGGACTGCTAAGAAAATGAACAGGTCTTGGAGAGGGTGAAACCAAGTTGCTCTCTGGAGACAAGGATTTTGAAGCTCCATCTCACATACTTTGGGTATGTCCAGGAGGGACAAGTCCTTGGAGAAGGACATCATGCTTGCGAGGGTGGAGGGACAGTGCAGGAGAGGAAGACCTTGGATAAGATGGATTGACACAGTGACTGGGGTAATAGGAACAGGTGTATTGGAGACAGTGAGATTGGCTCAAGACAGGACAGAGTTCACAGCCATTGTGCATAGGGTCATTGTGAGTCGCAGGTGACTTGGTGGTACATAACAACAATAATGACAGCAGTGGGTTTTCAGAGGCTGTAAATCACATGGGAGGAGATTGCCCACCTTTCTCCTGCAGAGCCACTAGTGTCCTTGAACCACCTGCCTTTGGGTTGTCAGTGCAGTTCCTAACCACTGGTCCACCAGAGCTCTCTGAATGAGTTTTAGAGATTATTAGCCTCTAGATCTTAATTGTACTGCATTCTCTTCCAAAGAAGCTCTATGTCTGCTGTTTAGGATATGGCTTCGCCTTCAGTTTACCCTCTGATACTTTCCATCTCAGGAGCCTGTGTGTGTCCCTCATGTCTATTCACATTATATTTGATTTCTCTTGATTTCTCAACTGTCTCTTGCCTTAGTCCATAAGGTCCATGAGAGTGGAGACTTGGGTGGTTGTGTTCACATAGCACCTCACACGGCCTGGTGTATAATAATACTCAGTAGAGAGCTGTTAAATTAATTAGTTAGCTAAAATTAAACACATGTGTAATGAACCCTCTAGTGCTTTTTTCTTATACTATAAGGCCCATGAGTGCCAGGACTTTCTCTTGTCATTACCAGCACTATTAAATTCCTAGCCCACAGTAGGCATTCAACTTGTTGAATTGAAAGATAATTGTAACTGGCCGATTGTCTAATTCCTTTCAGTCTCTTACCTTCTCCATGCTGTTATGGGCTGAGGGTCCCTGACTCTTCTCTGTTGCAGTTATAGTAGTCCAATGTCCTGCACAGAATAGCTGCTTAGTAAACAATAAGTAGAAAAAGCAAAATTCTAAGTGACAGTATGTTGTTACTCCTCTGCTAACACCCTTCCATCTCAGAGTAAAAACCCAGTTCCCCTCAAGGCCATCCAGGACCCTCTGACCTGCCCCAACAAGCTCTCTAACTCCATCTCCTACTAGTTCTGCCTTCCCTAACTTCACCATAATCACGCTCATCCCCTTCTGTTCCTGGAACTTGACCTCACGGTCTTTGCTCTTCACTGAGTGAACTGTATGGCTCATATCCTCACTTTAATCAGATACCAGATCTTGGGCCATCATCTCAGCGTTCCCTGTCACTGCCCCAAAATAGCAGCACGCACTTCACTCACACCCAACCTGACACTAATTTATCTGATGTCCTTGCATATTGGTTTCTTATCTGTCTCTTTTCACTGAATTGTAAAGCTCCCCTTGAATTGTTTCTGGCACATAGGAAGCAATAAATATGTGTTGTGTGAATATATGTATATATATTTTCCCCCACAAATTAAAGTATTTGTGCTATTTGTAACTTGCTCTTTCATGCCACATTTTGTCCCGAGTGTTATCCTCCTTAATAATTAGCGATCTCCATCAATCTCGACTGTAGTAGTAGAGAACTGGACCCATTGTATGGGGCACCATGATTTCATCAACAGTCCCACCTAGTGGACATTGTGGTCATCATATTTGTACCTGCATCTTTGCCAAAGCAAGGAAAGAATTATTTTTGCTTCCTATTCTTTTGGGTTTTTTTTTTAAAATAACCTTATTTTATTTATGAATATTTTCAGAATTTTAATACCCGAATCCTTGATTTAGATACCGCAGATCCTGGCCTTCTATATTTCTCTTTTTTAATTCTTTTCCTGCCTTTTCAACTCAGACTCATTGCCATTGTGTCGGAACCAATAGCAGACCATCCATTGGGTTTCCAAGGTTGTAAATTGCATGCAAGGAGATTGATTATCTGTCTCTCCCTGAGCCGCCGTTGAATTTGAACTTCCAGAGAAGTGTACCCTTTGGAGTGGCAGCACAATTCCCTACGGAGAAGACCACCACATCTTATTTAAAGCCATGACTGATGCTTTCAATGGAAAGGGGACTGTTTTTACCATATTATGACATCATCCTTTTCAGACCAGAAGGAGTTCCCTGGCTCCTATGGGGACGTTCAGCCCTCAGAGCTTCGAGGGAGGATCCTTATAGGTGTCTTGACGGCCCATCTAAGACGACCAAGAAGCTGCCTTTCCCAGATGCACACGGTAATGGCCACCTTCTTTGTTTGCAGGAAAGGTCTGGGTCCCCAAGCAGAAGCCAATGGATCCTGTGCTGGAAAGTGTGACATTGGAGCCAGAGTTGGAGGAGGCCTTGGCAAACGCCTCTGATGCAGAGCTCTGTGATATCGCAGGTAAGAGGCATTCCAGAAGCTTCCCCAGTCCTACAGGAGGATTTTCCAAGCATATCCAGGAAACGTTTTATGGTTTATTTCAACATGAGCCCCCTCTGTATTTTCTAACGAGGCTAACAGAGACTAAGAGTATTAAAATAGAAATCTGTTTTAACCAGAATAAGGGAAGAAGATAAAGCCACCCAGACCCCCCAACACGGAGGAGTGGTTTGTTGTGGCCGAGGCCTGGTCCCAGAGAAGTGTGGAAGTACCCCAGAGAAGAGATGTTCTAGCCGACACACGCTCACGAGCCATTTGTCTCAAACCCAGTTCAAATGAAAAGCCATGTTAAATGGAGCAAAAAGACTAGAGTGGAACAAAGGACAGGTTGGCATCTCCAACTTGGTGACTCCAACGGAGTCCAACTTCCAGCTTCCCTGCAGCCAGCCCAGACCCCAAGTTTTGAGAGGATCACCCAGTAAATGCCTCACATGACTGTAACATTTTGAATTTACAAATACTAAAAAAAACCCCAAAACCAAATAAATTAAAAACCTCAAACTCATTTCCAGCGAGATGGAACCAAGTCTCCTTGGGGTTTCTGAGGCTGTAAGTTGAATGAGAAGGGACTGCCATCTTTTCCCTCGGAGCTGCTGGTGGATTTGAACCACCAGAGTGGCACAGCCTTTGGATTAGCAGTGCCCTTCTCTAGGGATATGCCACAGAGCTCTGTTTCCATATAAGCTCCATTAAATCTTTAAAAACAGTTCTCAAAAGCCCCTGAGGTGGCTGGCTATTCAGAACTCTCCACCACCCTTCTTTTCTTAAAGCCATCTCTTCCTTTCCCCAGGCACTTTGTTCCAGCCCCTGAGAAGGTCATCTTTGGACCACATCACAGCCCTCAAGTACTTCCCATCACACTGTGCTCCCCATTGGACTTGGGAGCTACTGACCAAAACCCAAGTACTGGCACAGAGGGGCAGTGACTGGCTGTGAGAGGGGCCAGTTCGTTCGGTTACAGGGGAGAAGGAAGGCAGGTGTTCTGACTCCAGGGCCCAGGTGGGAGGGTGCGGGTGTATCATGAAGGTGAGGGAAAAGAGGAGCAGCGTTAGGGGAAATGCTGAGGTAAGTTTAGGGCCTGTGGAGCTCAAGGTGCTTATAGGTCAGCCAGGTGGAGACAGTTTTGCCAGAAGGTCAGGTTTTGGCAAGGCTGTAGAGCCATCCTGGCTATAGAGACGTGGACACTGTTAACATTGTGAAGCCCAGGGCAGGGGGCATAGAAGGACAAGTGTAGAAGCCAAGTAGATGATGCCTTTGGGAGGTGAGCCATGGAAATGGGGCAGAGGACCCACAAATGTCTTGATTGTTAAAGACTAAATGCAGAGAGGCAGAGCCCAGGGCAGGAGGAATCTAGGAGACAGAACAGGCTTGGGGTGGCAGAGGAAATTCTAATGTATGTACGCAGGCTGAAAGGGACTGTCAGTGCCAAGGAACTTAGCCGTGGCTGACTTCTGCCTTGTCACATCCTCCATCCTCTGGGTGGGGTGCAGGTCTTCTGAGCTGTGAGCCTGGCCGGGGTGGGACGAGGTGAGAAGACTTGACTGTGTTCAAGAGGTAACTCTGGGTGGTGATAACCATAACAAGGTTGCAGGGATGAAAGAAGTGACTGGGATAGAGCCACCTAGCATCCAGACAGCACTTTCCTCTCGATAGAAAACTCAGCAACGAATAAAGAATGAAGCATAGCAAGACTGATAGGACAGTTTTCATCTTCACCCAGAAGTACAGAAGTGGCAATTACGTCCCCCAGATGGGAACAGAACACTTAGCTCATGGAACCTGGTTTATTTGGAATTTAAGGATTGATTTTCTCAGGAGGATTAGGTTATAGTTCAAGCTCCCTGCCCCCGCTGTCATCAGATCTATTTCAGTTCTTAGCAACTCTGTGAGACCGAGAAGAACTGACCTATGGGGTTTCCAAAGCTACAAATTTTTACAGAAGCCGACTGCCTCATCTTTCTCCGTGGAATGTCTGGTAGGTTTGAACCACCAACCTTGAGGATAGCACCCAAGCATTTTAACTACCATGCCACCACAGTTTCTTTGGGTCATATTTTTTATATATGATCTCAAGTCAGAACTGACTCACAGCTGACCCTCCATCAGGTATTCCGAGGCTGTAAATTACCTGGGTGGAGACAGCCGATCTCTCTCTGACAGAGCTGTTGGTGGATTAGAACCATGTGCCCTTGGATTGGCAGCACAACTCTTTACCACTAGGCCACCAGAGCTCCCTTTAGATCATATTAGATCTTGATGTGTTTCAATACCATTTCTCTGAGGTGGGGGAGGCCTGTGGACTCCAGGGTCCTCAGCTCAGCAGGTAGTGGACACTGCCTGTGTGCAATGTCTCCACCATGACTCACTCTGGGGCTGTTTTCATCTAGACTTTTGCCTCTGATGACCCTGCATGACGTCACTCCCCTCATTAGACAGCTCAGAGGGATTATCAAATGGCCCTGCTGTCAGAGTCACCAGCGCCTGCCAGTTCCTGTGCCAAAATAGGACTGCAATATTGTACTCAATTTCTGTCTTGATTTCTTGAAGCTATTTTTCTTTATTTTTGTTGGCATGGCTAATTATGATTATCTGTTCTTGTTACCCTACGCTTCTGGTGTCCAGAATGGAAGGGTGGCTGTACGGCTGCACCAGTGTTAGCTGGCTGGTACCTCTTATTTGGACGTTTATTCAAAGGTGGCAGCAGCTCTTGGCAAGGAGGAATTGAACATTTCTTGACTCTCAACGATGTCCTAGATCCCATGTGTAAAGGCTCTGTGGACATTTCTGCATTAATTGCCAACAGCAATCCTAAGGAGTAGGTTTTATTATTGTCACTACTTATGGATGGAAAACTGGGCACTATGAGGTTATGAGGAGTCCACAGGTATGATTTCCAGTTAAGGTTGATGGTTTAAATCCACCCAGAGGCACCCCAGAAGAAAGAGCCAGAGATCCACTTCTGAAAAATCACAGCCAATGGAAACATTATTGAGTTTTACTCTGAAACCCAGGAGTTGGCATGAACTTAATAGTGACTGATTGGGTTTTGGTTTTTTGAGGTTCTTTGGCAACATTCATTCCTGGACATACTCCCAGCATCGCTGCTCAGTGTAACCTGAACAGATGCTCTGAGGTGGAGAAGGGGTCAGTGAACCCAGAGGCTGGGCAAAGAGGGTACCTGTGGAGTCAGGGAGAATCAGCTGGAGGGCAAGGAGGCCACATTAGGAGAGGCTCTGAACAAGAGGTGAATGAGTGACACCTGGACCCAACGAGGATGGGGAGGCACCTGCTGGAAGAAGGGGCTTGGGAAGGAAGGAGGTCAGAGGCAGGCCCAGGTGGAGCATCAGAGATGCAGACTAATGAGAAACCAGGGGCTCCAGGAGCTGGACCAGACGCTATGAGGTTGCAATGACACCAGGCTTTCTGATCCCCATCTGTGCTACAGAAAACAGAAACAGAACTGCAAGACTTTGCAAGCTGCTCTGAGAGGAGGTAATTTCAAACACCCCTGGGATCTGGAGGGAGACATTGTATTGGCATGCTGAGTGTCAGCCCACCAGGGAGTGGCCAGCTTCAGAGGTTATGAGTATGGTTGAAGGATTAGAGGAAGAAAAGTAGGACAGGAAGACATGGGGCTGCCAGGGCTGCCCACCCACCTCCAGGTCAAGCTGATAGGACATTTTTGTTCGTTTGTTCACTCTTTCACAGCCAACAGCAATGAGTAAGTGCCTTCTTCCTGCACACAGAGGCTATCAAGGAGAGGTCAGAGAGCAGCCTTGTTCCTGCCCTCAAGGAGCCAAACATTAAACAGCCAGGCAACTCTTAAAGGACAAATGAGAATGAGTGCCATACAAAAACACACACAAAGAAAAAGAAAAATAGATGTAAGTGTGGTGTTTGTCGAGATACTGAAGATGGGGGGATGACGGAAGCAGTGTGGAGGCTAAACCTAGAGGAGGGAGGGTAGAAGTAAGTGAGAAGAAGTATGAGGGTGAAACATCGAGGCAGGGGGTAGATAGAAAGCAAGATAAGCGTGGGCTGACTTGAGCTTGGAACTGCCAGAAGTTTAAGCAGGATTTAGAAGAGGCCATGGCACCAGCGATGGCATTGCTGATGTCGGATGGATCCTGGCTGAAAGTAAAGAATACTGGGAAAATGTCTATCTGTGCTTTATTGATTATGAAAAGGCATTTGACTGTGTGGACCATAACAAGTTGTGGCTAACACTGAGAAGAATGGGAATCCCAGAGCACGTAATTGTGCTCATGTGACACTTATACCTAGACCGGGAGGCTGCTGTGTGAACAGAGCAAGGGCATATTACATGGTTTAAAATTAGGAAGGCAGTGTGTCGAGTTTGTATTTTCTCTCCATACCTATTCAGTCCGTATGCTGAGCAAATTATTCTGGGAGCTGGACTCTATGAAGAGAATGCGGCATCAGAATCAGAGGGAGACTCATCAATTACCTGAGTTATGCAGATGACCCAACCTTGCTTGCAGAAAGTGAGGAGGACCTGAAGCACCTGTTGCAGAAGATCAAAGAATAGAGTCTTCAATATGAATTGCATCTCAGTGTAAAAAAGACAAAGATTCTTACCACTGGAGAAAAGATTGAAACTGTCAACAACTTCATCTTATGTGGATCCACAATTAACACCCTTGGTACCAGCAGTCAGGAGATGTATTGTACTGGTAAAGTCTACACTTAGGAACCTCTCCAAATTATTGAGGCATATTGATGTCAGTTTGAGGAATAAGGTGCTTCTGATTTAGGCTATGGCCTTTCTGATTACTTGCTATGCATTTGAGAACTGGACAGTGAATAAGGATGACAAAAGAATCAATGTCTTTGAGCTCTGGTGTTGGAAAAGAGCACTGGACATCCTATGGATTGCCAAAGAACAAACAAATATGTCTTGGAAAGGGTGCAACCAGAGTGCTCTTTGGAGGCAAAGATAA